CCCCCCCCCAACTTCAGAAACATACATCAATATTTAAAAAGTGAAATATTAACTCAGAAATACTAACATTAAACAACAATAGCCAAGATTGCATAACACAGATTGACTGATCAAACCAAAACATAGAACTGCAACATTTGTTGCCATGGTAATATTTAGTTCAGGCAGTTGTTAGCTAAACAATATGCATCAAAGGAAACATACCAGCTTTGTGTCAGTCAGGGTAAAATTCCAAAATAGGATTTTAAGGTGATTTCTTGATCATCTTAAATATGCTGTGGAACACAGCATCAAGCAGCACAATCCACAACATTACTGCTTAGGTTATTGCTACTAAGCTGATCATGAGCTTCTTGGAGTCTTTGTTTCTGGACACTATGACGAACTCCATAGCCAAAGTATACGATCAGACCTGAGAAAAGGGGATAGCATGCCATGAACTTACTGTCTTTATTCCTTAATACATCTATATGCTCTCTACAATGATGCAAACCTGGAAGAATAAAAGCATTTGATAGCAATCCTAGTTACCTGAAATGGCTGAAAATGCACGCTCTTACCAATTGCCATCCAAACAGCATAGCTGACCCAGGTTTCTCCTTCCAGTTGAACCATCAAGTAGGTATTAATGAAGACACTTAAAACTGGAATTACAGGTACACAGGGAACCTGCAGAAGGATATGAACCCATGACTGATTTATGCATGTCATTTTGACTTTAGAAGTTACACTTTTTCATTGTTTTTCCTAAGTAAAAAGGCCAAGTGTTTTCTTTTTCAAGCAGGGACAGACAGTACCAGTACTCTCCTTACCATTCCTTCTTTTTGGAGTTTAACAAGAAGAAGAAAAAAAAATGTCAGCCAGCATTTGCCCACTGGTTGCCCTCCCTTTAGTAAACATGCCGTACATTTATTTGCTATAAACTTTCTGTGCCCTGCAACAGACCCTTAGTGAGGCCCAGCAACTGACCCCCAAATAAGCTGTATTCAATGAAAATCAATAGAAGCAGACTTTCAAGAAGCATGAAATCCTACATTTGGAACCAAGCGCCCAACACCATCTGCTTTACCATGAAAGAAGCTTTAGTCCTGCTCTGTGGCTGCCTCCAGATGATAACAACAGCAAGGACCAATGTCAGCACGAGGACAGAGACGAGGAGCACGCTCCATAGTTCCCGTCTGCTGAGTGAGTACAAGGCCTCAGACAGGAGCACGGTTAAAACGATTACCAGGAACACTGGGGAGAGGTCGGAGCTGTCAGAAAACATAATACTAGGATTTTGTTTCATTTCTGCATTCTTAATAGCAAAAATTTTTTTTAATGAATAGTGTTAGCAGTATCTGCTCAAGATACAAAGTATCAAAGTGAAGCAGCTGTCAGGAGCCTCAGCAAATCAGGTGGGGTGTGTGTGGCGGGGTGATAAAGGATGACTCACAGATAATGATGGTGAGAATGGTGACATTTTTAGAGGTGCGGTGGGTAGCTCGAAATGGAGGCCTGAGCACATCCCTTATTGAGAATGGCTCCAGTCTGAGGACAAAACCAGCATTATCTTTGTACCTGAAACAAACAAACAAAAACAGTCAGGCTTACATCTAATCTGGAACTCTTGTTTGACCAAGTCATTTGCA